GTTGCATTTGGAAATTCCCCTAATTAGTATAAGCTGGTCCATGTACAAAAAACGGGATAAGTAAATAGGGTTCTTTCCTTTAAACATTGCATCAAAAATTGTTAAATTATAAAGTGTTGTTTATATGACCTTTTTAAGTCTCACGAAATTTGCATATTTTGAATGAGCTACACGCTTTTACAGCGTGAAGTCGGGATAGTTATTTTTGAAAATTGAGAAAGACAGAATATCACTCCTGGATCGATATTTCTAGTGTTTTAATGTCGTTGCGACAAGCCACCAGAAAAGAATATCGCGGTGCGTGAATAAACAAACTAGATAAGGTATTCTACGCCATAAATTACTTTCATATATAATTATATGACTGTCAGAATATTACATGTTTTTTTAGATACGAATTTTATCTTATCGTGTTGAACTCTTTCGCTCTTCACGTATTTGCAAATCCAAGTAATTTCTCAATTTTCCAAAATAGCTAGCCCGACTTCACGCTCCAAGAGCGTCTAKTTTAAAGTATTGTTCTGGAAATAAACATTATTAGTTAGTGTCAGCAGTATACTAAGTACAATTAATTATTGCATATTTTGTATAGTGGTAGCTTTAGACTTTTTCTCTTATCCATCAATAACTCTCTGCCCCATAAATCAAATCAACCATTGACTAAAATAATGCAATGTAATTATTCTCAGCTTGATCTACAGTCAGTGCAATAATTTTTTTCTTCTTTCCTTACTTMTTTGGATTTTTTTGTTGTTGCAGTGTGTTATGGAGAATCCTCTAATTGTATCGAAATGTAATAAAATGATGTTGTTATAAATTTAAAGTGTAATCTAATATTAATGGAATAAAAAAGAAGTGTTCTTCAGAAGCATGTCTTATTATAAGTGACCGAAGGACTATAAATTTTGTTGAACATGTAGTTAGATCCTTCACCTGAGTCAAATGTCTCATCTGAGTCAAAAACGTTGAAACTGTCTTTCTCAGATGTTTCATTTGATTTTTGAGTCTCAAAATTTAATTAGTGCTAGACAAGGTATGGTTTCTTTGATTACTTTTTGATTTTATACTGCAAAAACACAGCCAATTTCAAGATAAATTCTCAAGATCTATTGTTTACAAATGTTTAGTAATTATAGTTTGTCTTAATTATTCATAAAAAATACAGTTTTACGATGCTTACCACACGTACCAATAAAAGATAATAGAACGAATCGATGTGTTGTGTTGGCTTGGTTCACACATAACCTCTTTGACCATTTAGGGTACTRATTTTTTTTTACTTATAGGTAGGGGTACTCCCCTATATTCGCTATACAGGTACGTGCCGTCAACCAGGGTGTCATTTTTAGCGATTTAACTCTGGAACAGGGTATCGTTTCTAACGATTTTACTCTGGAACAGGGTATCGATTTCAACGATTTTTCTCTGGAACAGGGTCAGGGTTTTAAATTCCGGAATTATCGATGCTGGATAATGAATTCAAGGATTTGAAAATGTGCAAAAMTGAAAAAGGGTCAGTGTTTTGAGGACCCAGCAGCAGACGGTAGTTTTTAATTAACATCTGCCCACAATACGAAAAAAAATTCGCTGTTTCAACCACGATGTGTCCACATGCTGGGCAATAGCGCACATTCTTTTGGGAAGCATTATGAGCTGGACCAGGGGTAGACAAAGTATTTTATAGTGAGTTAACTACGGTAGTACAAGTAGGAGAACAAGTGTAGATGTTTTGTATTTTCTTCACGCTCAACGGTGTTCAGGATAGATTTAAATAAATCCGTTGATACAGGTATTTTTGTCAAGTCTTTGTTTTCCTGCTCCCTTGCGAGGTCTTTCGCACTACAGTCAAGGTCATCATCATCAGCAGCAGACTGTTGTTATAACATTTCTACGACAGAGTTTACATTACCCTCTTTCTCCAGCAAATACGCTGCGGTGACAAAAGTCTACCCGGCATGACTTGCATGTCATGGGCCCGGGTCGCACTAATGGTTTGTTTCTGTTTTGTCGGGACAAACGGTTTTACAAAAAGTTGTTTTTGCCAAAAAAATTGTTTGGTGAA